CATCTGGAAGTGAAACCCCTCCGTGACCTAGGCCTTTAAAACAGATGAATACTGAGCAGTTGTGGCACATCAAACATACTGGCATGTCAGGTTAACGAAGGGGGTTTTAGGAGGAGACTAACCTCATTTCAAACCATGACTATTTAATATTTCACTAGGTTTAAGGTGAGAGCCAGTGAAACGCATCTAGTATGCCACTGCGTAGACATTTTTTTCTAATCATACAGCGACTCACCAATGATTGAAGTAAAAAGAATTTTTAAAGATTTTTCTTCTTGAAGTTTTCCAATTCTTTCCAGGATTGCAAGTGTTCATAGTCCCTTTACTAGGACTTTTTACTATAATTTCCCTGCACCTCCATTTTCCGGTTCTCCGTGTTAATTGAGCTACTGGTACGCACACACTGGAATACAGAAAATTGAGGCTTTAGCCCCAGTCCCCACTGCCTGGGGCTGATCCTAGCTTTGCAGGGGTCACTGTGGTGTGGGAACCTGGACAACTACAATAAAAAGGTTGAGAAACACTGTTGTAGACGGTGCCTATAGTGTTAAAGAGCATGAAAAGTGATCAATAATGGTAAAACGTGTTAAAACGTACACTGGTTTCCTTGTTAATCAATGAATAAAACATTATTTGCTCAAACTAAGCATTTGTATAGTGTGTTACATAGATAAGAAGGGGAGGGGGGTAATATTTTAATGCTTTTCCCAGATAGATCAGCTACTGTAAAAGCAAATCTGCATCTTAAAATAATGGAGAAAAAACTCTTGGCCCATTCTCCTGACTAGCTGAATTTTTTATTATCTAAGCTGGCCCTGGTTCCAATTAGATGGGAAAACAGAGTTCCAGTGGGTATTTGGTATTATAGTGATAGAAATGTAGCCGTGTTAGTCTGGTGTAGCTGAAACAAAATACAGGCCTATGTAGCACTTTAAAGACTAACAAGACGGTTTATTAGATGATGAGCTTTCGTGGGCCAGACCCACTTCCTCAGATCAAATAGTCTGATCTGAGGAAGTGGGTCTGACCCACGAAAGCTCATCATCTAATAAACCATCTTGTTAGTCTTTAAAGTGCTACATAGTCCTGTATTTTGTTTCAGCTGTATTTGGTGTTATTCTGAACAGGGTTTTCCAAACTAGATTGTTCAGTCACCATCAGTATAACTCTTCCGTTAAATATCGTTGATGCAAACACATCAGAGGGGGCATTGAATGACCACCTCACAAAGTTCTGATGCTTATGTAGTGCTAAAGAAGAGCACAAAGGAAAACCAGGTTTTTTCCCCTTCTCCTTTGAGGGACAGGAGATGGTTAAGGTTCTTAATGCTTTTGTGCAGGACAGAACAGTTTAAATATTGAGATTTGCAATGTTTCAACCAAGTTTACAACAAAACAAGTAGTTCAAACCATTCCTTTTTCACTTATGTTAGAAGTGAAAAGGACTCAAAATTAAAAGCCCCTTGAGTAATGAAGGTATTGCATACGGATGTTAAGGACTAGTCTATTCCCCCCTCCCTTGCTGCCTCTATTTGACAGAGGCAGCAAAGGGGGGGAAGGGGAAGAGGAGGTACTTCAAAGCGGCAGTGCTGCACAAAGCCCATACCCGGACTCCATGAGGTGCTACCGCTTTGAAATGCCGCCACAGTGTTTCAAATGGGGCAGCTCTGCACAGCTGTTCCTGGGCTCAGCTGTTCAGCGCCGCCCCTCTGAAACACTGTCTTGGAAATTCAAAGCAGCGCTGCACGGAGCTGACCCTGGGCTCCATGCGGCACTGTCCCTTTGAAACGCTGCTGCAGGTTCCAGTGCAGCGCACAGAGCCTGGGGTCAGCTGGGGAGTCCCCAGCTGATCTCAGGTTCTGAGGAAATGACACAGAGCCTGTGGTCAGATGAGGAATGACCCGGGCTCCGGGTGGCATTTCAAAGCAGCAGCACAGCACAGAGCCCAGGGCCAGCGGAGACTTTAAGTCCCCTACTAACGCCAGGCTCCATGAGGGTGCTTCCACTTTGAAATGCACAAGAGCCCCTGTTGAGGACTCCTGTATATTTCAAAGCTGGCACCTGCATCAGCAGGACTTCCCTCTGGCCCCGGGCTGCACTAGGAGTTCCACATTCCTCCTTTGAAATGTATAAGAGCCCCAGCAGGGGAACGGAGACGTGCCTATCGACTCGTTGAGTTGTCGATGGAACTTCCATAGACTACTCAACTAGTAAATGACTCAATATTTAACATCCTTAGTCTTGCATAACAGGCAGAGCTTTGAACAGGAACAAAGTTTCAAATTCCCACAATACAAACAAAAACCTCTTTCTGCCTCCTACAGAGGAAATGTTTCAACACACAAAACATAGGTAACCATTTAAGGAGGTTAAACAAGTGAAATCTGTTTAAAATTCGAGTCCTTGGCAAAGAAAAAGCAAGCTACTAGTTTTTTTTAAGGCTGTATATCGGAGTGGGGAACCTAAAGCCCCATGTGGCCACTTGGCTCGCATAGATCTGGCCCCCTGAGGCTCAGGGCTCTCCCTCCCAGCACTAGGGAGTCTGTATTGGTGTGCCAGACCTATGCCCACCCTGTTCCTGGGCTAGTGCCAGCTCCTTGCTGGTTGGGGAGGGGGGCCCTGAGCCTCACAGGCTGGAGTCAGGCAAGCCAGGCTGGAGCCAACCCTGAGACTCTGCCTGGCGGGGGAAGCAGCTCCAGGCACTGCCATTCCTCCTCCCCTCAGCTGCCACAGCAAAGTGCTGCCTGGAGGCTTTCCTTCCACCACTCTGATTGGCTGTAATGGCAGCCAATAGAAGCAGCAGGAGCCAAGGAGCCATATGTCCCCTGGGGAGCTGTCCCAGGGAAGCACTCCCCATCACCTAGACCTCCCACTCCGCTTTTGCATCCCCTTCAGGCCCAGACCTCCCAGTCAGTGATTTTTTGGCTTCTCACTTTTGTGCGGCCCCTGGCTGATTTTGCTGTGGGTGAGCTGCCCCAACCCAAAAAGGTTCCCTACCCCTACTGAATATGATGGTCATTGCCTTGAGACACATCTTACGTGGTTGGTTTTTTTGGGTTTTTTTTGGTATTGAAACCATGCCTTACGGTGATTGAGATCCCTGGATCTATCTATTTACATAGACAAAGAAAAGCTTAAGCAGTGACTGGACCAGAGTTTGTAAGTGCCTGTGTGGGGAACAAATATTTAGTAATTGTCTCTTCAATCTAGCAGAAAAAGGTACAAAAAGATGTCAGTTTCCTACCATTGTTGACAAATTCAGATCAGAAATAAGGCAGGAATGTTTAGCATTAAGGTAAATAACCACTGGACCAACTGACAAAATATTGTGGCGGATTCTCAGTCACTGGCAATTTTAAAAATTAAGTCTGGACGTTTTTCTAAGAAATAAATTGTTTTGGAGCAGTTCTATGTTTTCTTGAAGAAAGACTATATGATTACAGTGGTCCCTTTTGGTCCTGGAATCTATGGGAACTCTACATGCACAAATTCACCTACCCACCCCAATACTGGAGTACAGTATTAATATTGCAGAGTTTGGCCAATGGCATATTGACACAAGCACATATGTACAGTATTAATATTGCAGAGTTTGGCCAGTGGCATATTGACACAAGCATCTGTGCTACTATCTGCAATCCCTCCTAGTTAAATTTCTTGGAGGGACAATTTCAGGTAATGCTGATGCTAGGGATGTGAATGGGTAACAGGTTAAATGATTACCCGATATCCGGGAACAGCTGTGCCTGCCACCCAGGCAGGGCTGGAGTGCCGCCGCCCCCCCCATTACTCCCTTCCTTTAATTGGTTAGCCAGTTAGACACTGCATTTATCATTCAACCAATTAAACAGGATTTTACATCCCTAGTGGACACTAGATTTTAGTATTGCTGCGTTTCTACATTCCGACAAAGCATGTTCATTCATTGGCTGAGAAAAGATTCTTTTCTTTTAAATTCATTGGTTACTTTTCTGTTTCACACCGGCAGGCAACAAGTTCTCTATTTTGTTTTCTGCCAATATAATAGAAACATAGTAAAGTGAATTTTAAAAAACGTTTTCCTCATCAGTGATTTAACAGGCTGATTCCTAATGGAAGAATATTACCAAGCTAACATCCAAGAGCATCACCTGTAATACTGGGAGTGGGCAGGGATAGAGGAGGAGAGAAAATGACAAGTAACTGCAAAAAAGCACCTGTCCGCACTATAGTCACAGATTGGGCACAGGCCTGTGCTATAATAAACAGTAACAGCAATAGTCACTTTTTTAATAAAATGGTTCCCTTCTCCAATGCAGGGCGGTGGGAAATCTCTCTCTGAATCCACTAAGAAGCAGAAACATAGAATCAGAGAATAATAAAACTAGATGGGGCCTTAAGAGGTCATCAGGTGTGGTCCCCTATTTTCACGGCAGGACCAAGCACTATCTTGATCAGTGGTTCTTAACCTTATTGCAGCCTGCACCCCTTTGGTTCTCAAAATATGTTCTCGCACCCCTTATTAAAAATTGTTGAAGTAGGTCAGTTTTAAACCTAAGATATATCATAAAAATCTGGCATGTCTCACACCCCCCAGGGAGTGTGTGCTCCTCAGGTTAAGAACCACTAATCTAGATCATCCCTGATAGATGTCTATCCCACCTGCTCTTAAATGTCTACAATGATGGAGACGCCACAACGTCCCCAGGCAATTTATTCCAGTGCTTAACCACCCTGACAGGAAGTTTTTCCTAATGTCCAAACTAAACCTCCCTCGCTGCAATTTAAGCCCATTGTACATAGTTCATTTTACGCTAGTCTTGTAATGCCTAACCATTATAGGAAAGATAGGCTGCTGACTCTTGATAGGTTATCAGGAAAAAGAATCCATGAGCATGCTCTTCAATCAAACAGAGCTATCACTTTATCATAACGAATGCCATGCAGCTGGTGCAAAATAAAAGTCAGACTGTTCAATTTTAAAACGAGTTACATTTGATAATGCAGAAGAAAAAGCCTTACTTGACAACAATTTAGGAATCTGTGGCTGCCCACCTAACAGCGGTCTGTACGGATTTCCCTGATAAGCCCCTTGCGGTGCTGCATTA